TTTAACTATGCTTAAATTACCTAGACACCATTTTTGTTTTTTTAGTTTAGACATAATTTTTGCTTAACTGCTAATCCCCTGTAGAAAGGGCTGTTAATATACAATTTGACTCATGTTGGCATTTTTGGTACACTCCTCAATGGATCTGATCACTAGCCATCTACTCAATTCCAACCCATGATGACCTCAAGTGAGTGAGAGCAGAACTGTGCTCCACAGGATTTTCAATGGTTCAATTTCTGGAAGTAGATTATACAATAAGCAGTCCAGCAACCATTTCCACCACCCAGAGATCCTTGCCAATTATATAGCAGTTACCTTATCCAAGATTAAAGTTGGGAGACTAGATAGTTAAAATAAAAAGGATGAGGTTGGTGGATTAAGTAAAAGTTAAAAAAAAATGTGTAGGACTCTCACATTGCCATGTACTACATCTACTCAAGAATCAAAATTACTAGTAACCTCAAAGGCTCAGACCATAGAATAATATCATAGACATTTTTATCTACTTTTGCCCAAGCTTCCCCCACCTAATGCACAAAAGGAAGAATGTGGTGTGACAATATCCTTTTCCATCATCCTAATTCATTTATGTCTGATTGGTAATGAGAACAACATTGTCAGTAAAAATAGAAGTCATACTGGTTTATATATAATTTTTCTTAGGCAAGGAGAGCTGGTAGAGTGAGTAGAATAATTTCTCTAGAAAAAGGAAAAAGCTCTGAGTTCAATTGCTGAAAAGGCAGGAGATTTGTCAGTTCTATTGCAAGAAACTTAAAAAGTGACTGTCTACACGGGAATTCCCTCCTCAGAGAGGCACAGGCCTAGCAATCTGCACTTTCTTTTGGACTCAGAGCTCTGCTTCCATCTTCTTCGTGTCATTCAAGACCAAAAGCCAATATTCTCTCTATATTGAATTTGTACATTTTAATATCTCCTGAGGCAGTCTAGACTGTCTAGGTTATGGCCTGTGGTGTCAAATTTTTTTTCTGTCAGTGTTCTGGTCACAATTTTGCATAGGTTTTTGGAAGTCTGTCCCTAACTTGATTATTTTTGGTGTATAATATTGCAGAAGGCAAGGCTTTTCAGGAACACATATGTTGTCTTACAAGAGAAGTACCTGTTTCTCTTATTATTATTTTAATAAACTCTGAGATGGACTCCTCATTTTAAGCATAGGTGATTTTATCAAAATTTTAGGGAACATGATAGTAGAAATCTATCTTTCAGATAGTGGAGCTGAAGTATTTATGATTTTACTATGCATTTTTTTTGTATTTTTATGAATGATTTTCAAATTTTATTTTGTTGTAATAAAATCAGCAAGAATGGCAGTGATCCATATTTCACAATTTTACTGCTTCCATTTACTTTTGGTCAGTCTTTCAATTTTCTGTAAGAAGTCTTAGACTGGTAGGCATATGGTGTATGAAGTCAATATATTTGAAGAAAACTGGTACTTATTTGATACATAAGAAATTGAGTTTTCCACAAATCATAGTCATCCTTTGAAAAATGAAAAATAAATGGCAATATTGATCTTTCTCATGCAACTTAATAAATGCTCTGTTCCACTAACAAAATTGGTTTTAATCATTACTATAAATTTAAAACTTATGAAAACCTATTTTCCAAATATGTTTTTCAGTTAACCTCCCCATGTATGTTGTTGTTGTTGTTATGTGCCGTCGAGTCGCCCCAACTCATAGCGACCCCTCCTTGGGTTTCCGAGGCAGTATCACTACGGAAGTAGATTGCCCCATCTTCCTTCCGAGGAGTGGCTGGTGGGTTTGAGCCGCCAGCCTTCTGGTTAGCAGTCAAGTGCCTTAGGCACTATGCTACCAGAGCTCCTTCCCCATATATACCTTCCATAATTTACATATATATTATATTCAAGAGGATCATTTGTGAATTGAAACTTCTGTTTTCAATATATATGTTTTCATAGAAGCAGTTAGGTTCTATTGTGACATATATTGGACACATCAAATTAGGATGTACATAATTAGGATGGCAAAACTGCTTTTTCCTATTTTAGGTAGTGCCTAAGGCATTTGACTGCTAACCAGAAGGCTGGTGGTCCAAACCCACCAGTCACTCCTCAGAAAGAAGAGTGGGCAATCTACTTCTGTAGAAATACAGCCTTGGAAAACTAAGGAGGGGTCGCTATGAGTCAGAACCAACTTGATGGCAGTGAGTTGAGTCTGTTGAGAGTGATTTCTTCTTTCTCTGTTCTTAAAGGCTCATATGAGCATATCAGGAGGAATTCTAACTACCCAGATTCTATTTCATCTGCCATCACTGTGGATTATGCTCTAGGAGTTAGGTGTCATTGGATCTGGAAGCAGGGAACTGCCAAGGTGGACAGAAGCTACAAGATTAGAGAAGCACAGAAGAGAATCCTGGAAAGAGAACTGTAATGGAATCTTATGGTGATTCCATCTTCTCTCTCATTTCCTGTGTATTTCCTTCTCATTCTTTCCCTTTTCCCTTTGAGGATCTGTGGTTTTCTCCTCAAACATTCTTCTTGGATTCTCCACTCAGTTATACTGCAAAACAAAAAAAATCATTTGCTTCCAGGGACATTACCTGGATTGACCCCTCACATTTCCTTTCCTTCCGCTATGTGTGATTGATTGCTCAGGGCCAAGATCATTCATCTGCCTCAATCCTTATAAATCACTAAGGAATGGTGACCTTTTTTTTTTATTTTCCAAGAATAGGCATATAATTTCTTAGGGCTTACAAAGGAGTACTAATGTTGTTGTTGTTGTTATGTGCCGTCGAGTCGCCCC